TGGAAAAGTGCAGAAGTCACAGGGTTGTAGTCATGGGTGACTTCAACTTTCCAAATATTGATTGGAAACATTTTAGTTGTAATAGTTTAGATGGAGCAGATTTTGTCCAGTGCACTCAGGAAGGATTCCTGACACAGTATGTAGATAGACCAATACGAGGAGAGGCCACTTTGGATTTGGTGCTTGGCAACGAACCTGGCCAAGTGCTGGACCTGTTGGTAGGAGAGCATTTTGGCAGTAGCGATCATAACTCTGTTTCTTTCACGAGAATCATGGATAAGGATAGATACATATGGCAGGGTAAAGTTTACAATTGGGGGAAGGGTAATTACAATTCAGTTAGGCAAGAACTGGGTAACATAAATTGGGAACAGATGCTGTCAGGGAAGAGCACTACAGAAATGTGGAGATTGTTTAAGGAATGCAGACTGCATGTGCTCGATATGTTTGTCCCTAGCAGGCAGAGAAGATGCGGTCGAGTGAGGGAGCCATGGTTCTCGAGAGAGGTCGAACGACTGGTTAAGAGGAAGAAGGAGACTCTTATAAGGTTTAGGAAAAGAGGAACGGAAAAGGCTCTAGAGGGATACACGTTAGCCAGGAAGTAGGTGAAGAAAGGGCTTGAGAGAGCTATAAGGGGGCATGAGAAAACCTTGGCGGATAGGATCAAGGAAAACTCCAAGGCTTTTTACACGTACGTGCAGAACAAGAGAATGGGTCACGTTGTGGACAGTGCGGAGGGCTGTTCTAGGTTACAAAGGGACATTGATAGAATGCAGAGCTGGGCTGAGAAGTGGCAGATGGAGTTTAACCCTGAAAAGTGTGAGGTGATTCATTTTGGAAGGACAAACTTGAAAGCAGAATACAGGGTTAATGGAAAGATTCTTGGCAGTGTGGAGGAGCGGAGGGATCTTGGGGTTCATGTTCACAGTTCCCTGAGAGCTGCCACCCAGGTGGATAGAGTTGTTAAGAAGGCATATGGTGTGTTAGCTTTCATTAATAGAGGGATTGAGTTCAAGAGCTGTGAAGTTATGCTCCAGCTATACAAAAGCCTGATTCGGCCACATCTGGAGTATTGTGTCCAGTTCTGGTCACCTCATTACGGGAAAGATGTGGAAGCATTAGAAAAAGCGCAGAGGAGATTTACCAGGATGTTGCCTGGAATGGAGGGAAGGTCTTACGAGGAAAGGTTGAGAGAGCTAGGGCTTTTCTCTTTAGAACGACGACGGATGAGAGGTGACTTGATTGAGGTGTACAAAATGATCAGAGGTATAGATAGAGTAGATAGCCAGAGACTTTTTCCTAGAGTGGAGGTAGCTTTTACGAGGGGACATAGTTTTAAAGTGAAAGGATGTGGATATCGGGGAGAAGTCAGAGGTAGGTTCTTTACTCAGAGAGTGGTAGGGGCGTGGAATGCATTGCCGGAGAGGGTAGTGGAGTCGGCCTCATTAGGGGCATTTAAGCAGCTATTAGATAGGCATATGGATGATAGTATAAGGTAGCGGTGGAGATTAGGTAGACCTTAGGTTTAGGGTAAAAGTTCGGCACATCATCGTGGGCCAAAGGGCCTGTATTGTGCTGTACTGTTCTATGTTCTATGTTCTATCAGTTGTTCCTTTCATTCCTTATGGGGTGGATGATAGGGATACAGGAACAGGAGTGGGCCATTCAGCCCCTACAGCCTGTTCCACCATTCAATGAGATTATGGCTGATCTGTGGCCTACCTACAGTTATCTGCCTTTTGCCCATGTCACTTAATACATTTGCTTAACAAAAAATATCTATCTCAGATTTAAAATTAACAACTGATCCATATTCACCGCCATTTGTGGAACAGAATTCCAGACAACTGCCACCCTTTGTGTGTGGAGTTTCCTAATATCTCTCCTGTACGGTCTGGCCCTAATTCTCAGACCATGAATCTCCAACCAGTGGAAATAGTTTACGTACCCTGCCTTTTCCTGTTAATATCTGGAAGACTTCAATCTGAACACCACTTAACCTTTCAAATTCTGGAGAAAACAGGCCTAATTTGTATAATCTCTCCTCATAGTCATATAATCCCTACAGTGTGGAAGCAGGCCATTTGGCCCATCGAGTCCACACCAACCTTCTGAAAAGCATTCCTTATCTCTGTAACCCTGCATTTTGCTAGCCTGCACATCACTGGACACAATGGGGCAATTTAGCACGGCAAATCCATCCAACCTGCACATCTTTGTACTGTGGGAGGAAACTGGAGCACCTGGAGGAAACACATGCAGACACGGGGAGAACATGCAAACTCCACACAGACAGTTGTCTGATAGTGGAATCAAACCCAGGTCCCTGGCACTGTTAGGCAACAGGGCTAACTACTGAGCCACTGTTCCAGCCCTGAAGTCCAGTTATCATTCTTGCAAACCTATGTTGTACTCCTCCCAAGCTCAATATATCTTTCCTAGAGTGTGGTGCCCAGGTCAGCTCACAGTACTCTAAGTGGGGTCTAACCAAGGTTTTGTAGGGCTGTAGCATAACCTCAGCGTCCTTACACTCTGATCCTCGAGATGTAAAAGCTAGGATTAGTTTGTAAGCTGCATGGCTTTCCTTATCTGCATAAATCTTGTGAACTAGGGCTTGATACAATCATGGATATGCATCAAATTAGGAGTATCAATATGTTTCAGACATGTAACAACTAACATTTGGAATGAAGCTAATTAAAAATAGAAACTGGAACTTTCAACTGCCAGAGATAAAAACCTACAATTTCTTCAAGGGTTCTCTCAATCAGTCATTATTTACCCAGTGGACTTCTAGTGTGATCACAGTAGCTGATCAGAAAAGCCTGTGAGGAAAACCCAAGCAGCTTTTTCTCCTCATTAGTCTGGGTTTAACACAAAGAAAATAGGCGGAAGCTTTATGCTAAATATTTGCCGCATTACAATAGTGACTGCACAATAAAAGTACCGCATCAGCTGTGAAGCATTTTAGGATGTCTAAAGGTGCTAAGTAAAAAATAAGTCCTTTCTTTCATTTTTTCTCCTTTGAAATACAGATCAGGCTTTCGAAAATTGTTTAAATAGTTCAGAATAAATTAGTTCAAATGATAAAGGAAAGGAAAGTTGGTTAGCAGCCAACTCAGATCAGTTACTTTGGAATGTGCATTATTAGTTGAAGCTGGCTATTGCTACATGTGATTCTATGAGTGCAGATTGTATGTGCATTGCAATAGCTTCCAAGTAAGTGAGATAGTAGGAACTGCAGATGCTGGAGAATCTGAGATAACAAGGTGTAGAGCTGGATGAACACAGCAGGCCAAGCAGCATCAGAGGAGCAGGAAGGCTGA